TTTCAGATCTGCAGTACTTTACTATTATTGCAGGCTTTGCTCACAAAACCGAGTACGGAAATAGAAAAGGAGCAATTTCAAACTGGTTTGTATCAAGATGGGCATTAGTTGCAGAAATTTATTCCTATGCTCCAGGATACACTTTTTTCCCACTGGGCCATAGAATCACAGGATGATAATGATACAGAATGGAGTCATATAGCTTATCTTGCCTATTCCGGTTCACTTGTAGGCTCATCCCACTCTCCTGCTATTGCTAATCCCTTATGTTCTGCAGTAAAGATTTAATCATGGAACTGTACACAAAAGAAGGAGGCAATTCAAGCCATCATGTCTGTCCCAGCTTCCAAAAGAGCAATCCAGCATGTCCCATTTTTCAGCCCAATCTCTGTTGTTCTTGAAATTCATCACTTTTAAATATATATCCAGATTTCTTTTGAAACCTCATACAAAATTAGGGGCGGCACGGTGGCTCTGTGGTTAGCACTGCTGCCTCACAGCACTAGGGACCCAGGTTCGATTCCAGCCTCGGGCGACTGTGTGTGTGGAGTTTGCACGTTCTCCCCCTGTCTGCGTGGGTTTCCTCCGGATGCTCCGGTTTCCTCCCACAGTCCAAAGATGTGTAGGCTAGGTGGATTGGCCTTGCTAAATTGCCCATAGTGTTCAGGAATGTATACATTAGGTGGGCTTATAGGGGATGGGTCTGGGTGGGATGCTCTGAGGGTCAGTGTGGACTTGTTGGGCAAAAGATCCTGTTTCCACACTGTAGGGATTCTATGATGATCTGCCTCCATTTCAAATCCTAACAAAGAAGTTTCTCCTCCTCTCACTCCTAGCTGTCTCACTGACAGTCTTGACACTGTGACTCCTCGTTACTGACATACCAACTGGCAGAAACCGAATATCCCTCTTTATCCTGTCAAAATTTGTTTATAATTTTGAACACGTCAATAAAATCACCTATTAAACCTCTCTGCTCCACAGAGAATAAGCCCAGTTTCTTTTCCTTGCAAGTAAAATTCTTCATTCCTGGTATTCTAGTAAATTTCCTTCGCACTGTGTCCAGAGCTTTAACATCCATCCTTAAACAAGATGTCCAGAACCGAACACAATACTCCAAATGTGGTCTGATTAATGATTGTAGAAGTATAGCATCATTTCCCCACTTTTATACTTTTAAGCATCTATAAATCCATGGATCCTACAATCCTTCGTAACAATTGTTTCAACTTGCCTGGCCACCTTCTGAGAATCGTTCATCTGAACTCTGGGGTCCCTCTATCCTGTACTTCCCTCAAAGTTGTACCATTGAGGCTGTATTGTCTTTCTTTTCTTGTACCAATATGCATTATCTCACGTTACTCTGCATTAAATTTCATCAGTCAGGTGTCTGCCCATTTGGCCAACTTGTCACTATCTCTCTGAAGTCTCTCAGCATCATCCTCACAATTTACTATCCTCCCTAGTTTAGAATCATCTGCAGATTCAGAGATTTTGGCCTCAACACGTATCTCCAAACTGCAAATCAGAAAAGCAAGAGTACCAACACTGATCCCCAGGGAACACCACTTTCAGCTCATCTCCAATCTGAGAAATGCCCATCTATAACCTACTATTGGATTCTTTCTGAGATCAGCGAACAGGAACGAGACGGAGACTGGGTAGAAATCTTTAAAGGTTGTCCTTATTGAAAGCACTTCTTAGCATGTCTTTGAGCTTAAGTTTTTACAGTGAGTAGACGTAGCCTTCTTATACAGTATTGTAACAGATACTTGTGTGCGAAGCTTGTTTACACTGCATTCTTACAGTTATCAGTTCCTTGATGTGATAAACAGAGGTTTTCTTTACAGGGTACTTGTTTATTGTAGCTCTCTGACACAGTTAACATCTATCTCTCTCAATGTGGTTTCTGTGGTTCGTTTTGTTTTTGTTCTATTAGGACAATTTCTATAGTAAAGCAATTAAAGTTGACCTGTAAAGCACTTAAAGCTGACCTTGGGTTAACCGCAATGGTTCAGTGAAGTGGTTTACATCACGTGAGGCTAATCTACAGTTACCCCTGGTGTGCGCCTAAGTGCTTTACTATGTTAAAAGGTCACGCATTCCTGATATCATCACGTTCCCCTTTTGCAAGCAACACTACTATTGTTGCCCTGTTAGTGGCTATTAAACACTTAACCCTGATCTCATTAAGTTTCCCTGATCAGATTAAGTCCCCTTAACCATTTCCTGCTCTGTGGGTTGCCACTGAAACCACACCTACCCTCTGTTCACTAACTTTTAGCCAGCTTCTAATCCATGCCAAGGACTGATCAATCCTAAACATTTTTAATTTTCTGACCAATCTGCCATGTGGCACAATATCAGATGCTTTCTGAACGTCCAAATATACGACATCCACTGCCCTACCCTCATCCACTGCCTGTGCCACCTCAACAAAGAGCTCAGTTGCATTTGTCAGACATGACCTGCCCTTGACAAAGCCATGTTGACTTGTCTGGTATGAACTTATTTTTCTCTATACTACTGATGTCAAGCTAACAGATTTGTAATTTCCTGGGTTATCCTTTGTTCCATTACCTCAAAGTTACCACAGTTTGCCACTGTTATACCCATCTGACCAGCCTGTCTATATTGGCTTGCAGTCTAAGACTTTTCTCCTCGCTCTGTACCACACCAGATGATTTGTGTATTACCTGTGAGCTGGCTTATCAAAATTCCCACATTCATGTCTAGATCATTAATGTCCACTACAGTAGCAAGGAATCCATGACTAAACATGTGGTATGTCACTGGACACAATCTTCCAATTACAAAAGCAACCTTCAACCATCACGCTCTGCCTCCTGGCACTGTCAAATTTGTCAAATTAATGACCAAATGTGCTACTATTTTCATGACCATTCCGCCATGTGAGATCTTGCAAATGTCTTAATGATGGCTGTGCAGATGACATCCACTGCATTATCCTCATCCAACCATCTAACCAACTCTTAGAAAATTTCAATTAAGCCTGTCAGACATTGACTGTCCCTGATATTGCCATCAGTATCCTTGGTTTAGCCTTGCCTCCCCAAGTAGAGATGATTCTGTCCCACAGAATGTTTTCCAACTGTTTCCCTGTTATTGGTGTTTCACTCACTGGGCTACAATTCCCTGGTTTATCTCTACAAACCATCTTGAACACTAGTACCACATATTCTCTCCTCCACTTCTCTGGTATCTCTTGTGTCCGTAGGGATCATCACTTTCAACTCACCTCCAGTTTGAGAAATGCCCATCTATACCTATGCTCTGTTTCCTTTTTATTAAATTCAACTTCTAATACATGCTATCAAGGACGAATCAATCCCAAACATTTCTAATTTGCATAAGATGTTTGATTTTCTTGAGCCGCTGCTGTCCTTATGTCGAAGGTATTTCCTCGATGTTCAGAAAGGCATTTCAGGTTATTCACCTAACAATGATAAAGGAACGTAGAGATACATACAAATCAAAAGAAGTTGTTTTTATTTTTGCTTTTTAAAGTTATCCAATGATCTGAGGCATTTTACCCAGCCACATTCACTTGACCCCTGTCCACATTTGGTGATATTGGGAAGGTGACCAAACATTTTCCCCACTAAGTAAGTTTGAACAAGTGTTTTAAAAGAAGAGATTGAGGTAGTGATGCAAGAGTTTTGGGGAGAAAATTCTTGAGCTTACTGGCTTTGGCAGCTGAATGATTAGCAACCAGTGGCAGAGTGTCTAAAACCTGCGGTGCCGGAGGCAAGACTTTCATGAGTTGCAGAGATCTTGAAGGATGTATGGCATGAGGAAAGTACAGAGAGATGATAGCAACCAAGAAGGAAGATAGATGAGAATTTTAAAATAATGATGGTTTATAACCAGGAGACTTTGCAGGTTAGTGAGTACAGGGGTGATGAGTGAACAAGATTTGGTGCAGTAGTACGTGGGCAGTGGAGGTTTAGATTACCTCAAGGTTACAAGGAGGTAGAATGTTGGAGGCTGGCTGGAAGTGTGTTAGAATAGGTAAGTCTACAGGTAACCAAAGAATGGATGAGTTTCAGAAGGAGAAGAACAGAAACTAGGGTGAAGTTTGGTGATGTTACTGAGGTTGAAATAGGCGATCTTGCTGATGGGGGTATGTGGGTGGAAGGTCATGTTAGGGTCAAATAATTGTCTGTGAAGTTCGCATGTTCTGCCCTTATCTGTGTGGGTTTCCTCCAGGTGATTTGGTTTCTGTTTGGGGGCCTATAGTACAACCCCAATAACGTCATCATCCCCTTCTTATTTCTTAGCTCCACCCACAAAGCCTCACTGGATGATCCCTCAGTTATTTCATCTCTGACTACCTTTGTGATACTGTCTTAATCAAAAATGCAAACCCCCACCCTCGTTCCTCCACCTCTGTCCCGTCTAAAGCACCTGTACCCTGGCACTTTAAGCCGCCAGTCCTGTCCCTCCCTTAGCCATGTTTCTGTAATGGCTATAATATCCCAGTCCCATGTACCTATCCACGCCCTGAGTTCATTGGCCTTACCTGCCAGCCCTCTTGCATTGAAATAGATGCAATTTTATCCAACAGACATTCCTTTCTCCCTGTCCTGTTCCAGCCTGACTTATCTCTTCAACTTGCTGTTTTTGAATACTGTGTCTTCCTCCAGCCTTGCACTTGCCTCCTGCTGTTGAGGATCCTACCTCCTTTGCCAATCTGAAGAAGGGTCTAGGCCCGAAACGTCAGCTTTCCTGCTCCCCTGATGCTGCTTGGCCTGCTGTGTTCATCCAGCTCTACACCTTGTTATCTTAGTTTAAACCCTCCCTTGTAGCACTAACAAATCTATGTTGAGAACAATGCTTGCTCCTTCCTGGGTGTGCTTGAACCGCCAACCTCTCTCTTAACAGTCAAAAGCACTGACCAGATGCACCACAGACTTTTTTTTCTGTTTTAATCATTTCACAGGGTAATAGAGGGCAAAGCTTTTCAGTCAGGAAACTGAAACCGAACATCACACTGTGATCTGACAGAATTGCCTCCATCACCTGAATATTATCATGTTTTGAACATGGAAGGAAAAGGCAGTGTTCCCAGCGGAGAGAAACAGTACATGTGTTCTGTATGTGGACAAGGATTTGCCTGGTCACTTGACTTGTCAGAACATAAATGCAGTCCGAATGGGGAGAAACCATGGAAATGTTGGGACTGTGGGAAGGGATTCAGATCCCCTTCTGACCTGGAAAGGCATCAGCGCAGTCACACTGGAGAGAAGCCATTCACATGCTCAGAGTGTGGAAAAGGATTCTCTCAGTCATCCCATTTGCTGACACATCGAAGAGTTCACACCGGAGAAAAGCCATTTACCTGCTCAGAATGTGGGAAGGCATTCAGTCAGTTATCACACCTGCAGACACACCAGCGAATTCATATTGATGAGAGACCTTTCAAATGCCTAGACTGTGGGACGTGCTGTAAAAGTTCCAGGGAACTGATGTCCCATCAACATGTTCACATTGAGGAGAAACTATTCAGGTGTTCTCACTGTGGAAAAAGGTTCAAAACGTTTTCTCATCTCACTGTACACCAACACAGTCACGCAGGAGAGAGACCATGGACATGTGGGGACTGTGGGAAGGGATTTGATTATCCATCTGATCTGGAAACTCATCAACGCAGCCACACTGGGGAGAGACCGTTTGTCTGTCCAGAGTGTGGTAAGAGATTCACAGAGTCATCCACTTTGCTCAGACACCAGAGAATTCATACTGGAGAGAGGCTGTTCACCTGCTCCGAGTGTGGGAAGGGATTCATTCAGTCATCTGACCTGCTGAGACACCAGCAAGTTCACACTGGAGAGAAACCTTTCGCTTGCTGTGTGTGTGGGAATGCATTCACTCGCTCATCTACACTGCTGACACACCTGCGCAGTCATGCTGGGGAGAGGCCATTCACTTGTTCCCAGTGTGGGAAAGGATTTGCTCGGTCTTATACCCTGCTGACACACCAACGCGTTCACACTGGGGAGAGGCCATTCACTTGTTCCCAGTGTGGGAAGGGATTCACTCGGTCATTCATCCTGCAGAGACACCAGCAAGTTCACAAGTAACTGCAGTGATTATATTTTATTGAGAATTGCATTCAGAACTGAACCTTGTTCATTTGGTCCTGTTTCTGTTGATGTTAATAACCTCCAGACCATTTAAAAAGACGTTAGTATCTTCAATAAGCATGGACACAAAAAGGAACAAAAGTCTGCCTGTCAGTTCATCCATATGAACAAGGAAGAAGAGTATGCCATTTGAGCCTGCTCCACCATTGAATAAGATCATGTCTGATCTGATTTTACCTTCCCCTCTAAAGTCCTGTATGTCCAAAGTCAGCTTTGAAACTATGTCAGAATTGTTAGCATTTTACATGAACCGTTTTTTGTGTGAAACGCAATATTTTGGGTCTTGTTACTATCTCTACCACAAATTTGTTCTTTTTGAAGTACTCTTCACATTCAACAGCCTTTTTTCCATTCTCACCTCCAAGTGCAATGGCTCATAGAGTATCTTTACTAAAATTGAGACAATCTGACCAGCTGCCTTGGCTGCTTCCCTCCCGTTAATCCACCAGCTAGACTGCCTTTCAAGTGCGCCCCCCAATCTGAGGCCTGACCCCATATCTTTCTCTTAATTTTATTTCTCTCCGTTCATACCCTGTGCTCATTATCCATGACAGCCACCACCTCACTCAAGTCTACTCCCACTAAACTGCTGATCTATCAGCTTGCCCATGTTTGTTGATATTATTAATGGTGCCGTCTAACAACAAAAGAAGTAGAATCAAGTTGGCCATTCAGCACCTCAGTGGTTCTGCCATTGAATTAATTCACAGCTGATCTGATTGTGGCTTGAACTCCACTTTTCCCTCATTACAGAGACTCCTTCATAGATTGAAAGCTGTCAAACTCAGCCTTGAACATATTCAATGTCCCAGCTTGCAGTGATCACTCATAAGATTCTGAGCACTAGCGAATCTCTGAATGAAGAAATTCCTCACTTTCTCCACATGACTTTCTCTTGTGAATGGGCAAATGTTGTTCGTATGGACACTCCTGTGATTGGACAAGAGGTGCATCATTGTGGAGTGCAATATCCATGCGCAGTTTTGATTAACAGCCTCGGGAGCCAGTGGGAAGTTCCCAGCATAAGAATACTTTTGTCAAGGAGGTTTGGATAGAGTGGAAAAGAACGAGGGCAAAGAAACAAGGAAGTTGGAAACTAACTGAAAGGTATGAGGAAGGAATCTCGCTCTGCTGTTTGGTTATAACATGGCACATGTAAAGCTTTCATTGTTCTGTCAGTCACTGTTCAAACATTACTTTGCTATCTAGATACAACAATGTAAGTGTAGAGCTCCCATTATCTGGAAACCCTTTGAACTTTACCTTTACTATACAAGTTCATCCTGTATTTCTCTTAATGCTCCTCCATGACTGAAGATAGTCACATCTGATTCCATTCTAAGTCAGTGATTTAATTCCCACATCTGATTAATTCACACTGGGGGAGGATTCATTATGATTCCAATTTCACTGCACATCAAATTATTCATTTTGCAGACTGTTTGACTGTTCTCACTGTATGAAGAGCTTTAAAATCGTTAAAGAGCTGATTAAAATACTAATTGCACTCACAATGGAGAGAACACATTCACTTGCTGTGAGTGGGGGAAAAGGACTCAACTGAGTCATTCAAATTGCTGCCACGCCAGCAAGTTCACATCTGACTGGATTGGTTGAATTCTGTTGTTCTCCTGGCCACCTTCTGAGCCTGAACCAGAGTGTTCATTATGTCAGTGTTGATTTCATCCTAAGCTGATTTGCTGACACATCTGTTTCATCATCAAAACTGCTGCCTCTCACCTCTGTAACATTTCTCCTCTTTTCTGCTTTAGCTCATTTGCTGCTGAAACACTTGTTCATGTCTTTTCTGCTTCTAGACCCAGCTGTTCCAAAGTAATCACTGGATTTTACCTTGGCCACCCTAGGTCTTGAGATTTATTCTTCTGGTATGCCAGCAGCTCAACCTTCAAAACTCATAATTAGCTGAAGAAAACTATACTTATCCCCTGAACTATACTTTCCCTTCCTGATATGACAGTTCGTATTTGCATTCTTTCATGGGACATGGGATTTAGCATTAGCTGGCCAGGGAGCGTTTATTGCCCATCACGAGTAGCAATTGAGAAAGTGGTGAGGAGCTGTCTTCTTGAACTGCTGCAGTCATTTTATGTGGCGACACCAAAAATGCTGTTAGATTGACAGATCCAGGAATTTGACCCAGTGGTACTGAAGGAATAGTGATATGTTTTCAAGTCAAAATGGCAAGTGACTGGAAGAACAACTCGCTGTTGGCAGTGTGACCTCGTATCTGCTGCCACTGTCTTCCTAATTGGGAGTGGTTGTGTTTTGGAACATGTATACTCCACACAGGTCAATTGCCCCTGCATCACAGTGCTACGGTTGGTTTGATCATACTTTCTGCAGTCTCTGCTGTCATCCACACAAGCACCAAGATCTTTGAAGTTCTTGGACAATTGCAAAGCCTAGTTCTCCTTCAGTATTACTTTATGAATATTCACACCTTCCTCATTAGTTTTTGCACTCTCCTATCCTTGGCCATGGGCTAAATCTGATATCCATAACCTAAGGTAATTTTCTCCCTTCTCAGCACATCACCTTGTGCATAGCTTGTGCTCCAGTTCATCAACACTGACCTGATGTTCCTTTTGCACTTTGATGGCGGAGCTTGCCTTCGATTACATTGGTGTGTCCCAGCCCCCACAAACCCAAGATTTAAGATCCCATGTCGGTTCAAGTTTTATACTGGAATTGACCAATGTCAGAGTGTTTCAAGGTTTTTCTGTTTTAATTTGATTGTTAGAGCATCACAGTATTTAGCTTTTCTTTTACATAAGAACCATGAGAATGTTGAACTCATTATTTCAGGAGCTTGCAAAGCTACTCTTAGCTGGATATTCATGACTGCAGTCACACCACAGAACGAAAAATCACCCACTGAATGTGGAAAGGGATACACTCAGTTGTACCAATTACTGACATAGCAGCACATACACTGGATTGAGGTCGTTCAGATACTTCACACCTATGAAAGGATTTGCACAGTTATTGCATTTGTTAAGATTTCAATGTGAAACATTCAGAGATGCTGGTAAGTTTTCTTTTAATGTTCTCTATATGGGAAATTAATACTTGTTCACAATGTGTTCACAACACTTGCCTGAGACACCAGGGAATTTACAAATGCCATGAGGAACTTTTTCTACTGTTACTCACATTCCGGAAAGAACTATTTTTGTGGAATGTGGACGTCACAAGCTGGCCAGCATGTATTGCCTGTCCCTAGTTACCCTTGGACTACAGTATACTTGCTGTATCAATTTGGCATGGTGGCACGGTTAGCGCTGCTGCCTCACAGTGCCAGGGACCTGGGTTCGATTCCACCCTCGGGTGATTGTCTATGTGGAGTCTGCATGTTCTCCCCGTGTCTGTGTGGATTTCCTCCGGATGCTCTGGTTTTGTTCCACAGCCCAAAGAATACATGTTAGGTGGATTGCCATGCTTAATTGCCCTGTAGTGTCCAGGGATGTGTAGGTTAGATATGTTAGCCATGGGAAATATAGAGAGGGGCATGAGTCTGTGTGTGATACTTTTTGAAGAGTTGGTGTAGACTTGTTGGCCCGGATGGCCTCTTTCCACACTGTGGAAGAGTCTATGGAATTCATTTTATCCTTTTTATATCTCTGTTACAAACTCTAATCGTAGGTAAAACACTTATTGTCTGTTCAAACTTTGAATAGCAAAGGCTTTACCCAGCATTCAGAGGGAGAATGATTCCTACCTTCACTGCATGGCACAAGCGCAGTATGGCCTTCCACCAAACCATGCACAGCGTTAATCTGGGAAAGGTCGGGGGCTGCGAGAAGAGCAGCAAAACATCAGAGATGGGGGATGACTGAAATCAGAGCAATGGAGCTGGCAGGAAAGAGGAGAAGCTTGGTTAACAACCAGAGTGGACCTCAGACCACGAACAAGACGCTAGTGCTTACCCAAAATTTGGTCTTGAACTTCCAGCGGCGAGGCTCAGGCTCAGTAGACATCCTGAGCGGTGTGCAGTGGGATGCATGCATGTTAAATAATCAGTTATTCCAAAAGTTGAAGAGTGTTTAGAGTTCTGGTCATCTCATTGGTGGAATTATATCCTTCCTATAGAGAAGGTGTAGACAGCTTGATGAGGGTGTTTATTAGGGCTGGAGGAAATGCAGCTGAGGACAGATTGGACAAGCTGGCGATGCTCCTGTTCAAACAGGGAAGGGAAATTTGATTTGAGATGTACAAAATTGGGAAGGGCCTGGAAGCTGGAAATGGAAGGACCCACTTATCTGAGCTGAGGGTTCAGTGACCAGGGGCAAGGTTTTAAGATGATTGATAGAAAGATTAGAGGTAGGATGAGGAGCTTTTTTTTCTCCAAGAGAATGATTGTGGTTTGGAACTGACTGTCTGAAATGGGAGTAAAGGGAGAAAGACTCAACTGGTGTTTGTGAACTGGATATGCATGCACGAGTGTGTGCCAATTGTGCACAATAAGCTCAATCTAGGTGTCTCATTTTTCAGCTGGCACATACATTATAGAAAAGTGAGCCAAGTTTCTGGGCTATGAACATTATGATTCAGTGCAGCAAAGGCAGGGCGATGTTTGCCTTTTCTGAATTTCTATCCTGGATCGACAGTGGTGGATTTGGGGAGCTCCTTTTGCTGGATGTAGGAAGTGGATGTTTCGCCAGCCAAACGTTACATCACAATCTGGCAGTGATTCTTGATTTGTCAGGGCCTGGATATTATTGGCCTTTGAATTAAAGTGATTTGTTCCAGGATATTGCTGTTTGCAGGTTCAGCTATTTATTCTCACACTTCCTTGCATCACTTTGCTGAAAATGTCAAATCTTTGTCATAGAGCTATACAGCACAGAAATAGACCTTCGGTCTAACGAGCCTGTGCTGCCCATAATCCCAAACTAAACTAGTCCCACCTGCCTGCACTTGGCCTAGATCCTTCCAAACATTTTTTATTCATGTACTTGTCCAAATGCCTTGTAACCGTTATAACTGTATCTGCATATAGCACCTTCTCTGGAAGTTCATTCCACATATGAGCCACTTTAACAACAAGATGGCAGCAGAGTAAGATGTTCCAGCTGGAGCTCCTCTATTTTGCCAGTTCCTTTTTTCTTTCTTCTTTTTTCTGCAGTTTGCCT